ATATATATATATATGTATGTATATGTATATATGTAGCTATAGATATATGTACGCGACGCAGCGGCCACAACACAAACACGCAGGTCAACACAAGCACTGAGGAGGGAGATGGAGCATCAGTGCACAAAGAAACAAAAAAAAAAAGCACCGTAAAGGTGTGGGTGGGGACAAATCGTGCGTGTGCCCCTAAGGGCAACAGAAGCACGATGAGGCCGAAGAAAAAGAAGAAGAAAAACACACGGACACAGCGCAAACAAAACCATTGCCGTAGTTCATGCATACATACGCACACAGAGGCTTGCATACTCGCATACCCTCCCACAACGGGAAGTAGGCAGGCAGGTATGCGGGGAGGAGACGCAAAGGGGGAGCAAGAAAGATGGACCTGAGAAAAAGTAAAAGAACAAAATAGCAATGAAGACAAGAGCAAACCAAACTACAAAGGAAACAACAAAAAAAAATTTGTGCCCAATTGCCGCGATGGCAAAAAAAAAAAAGGGCACACACACACGCACACAATCACACAGATGCATACAGCACCGGAAAGAGTCATAGAACGGCAGATGCTACAGCGCAGCTATCCTACAAATACACTACATGTGCAGCAACGTCCTTACCCCAGCGCACCACCACTACCACCCATCTTCCATGTTTCTGCATACTTCGCGTCAATGCCGCGACAGCACACGATGTGTGAGTCGCACCGCGACGTAGCACGCGAAAAACCACGGCAAGACTCCGAGACTGCGCAACTCAGCATCAGTATCTTCTTTATCGCCGTTGACAGTCACGGCAGTGAGGGGAGTTACTGAGCCGCTGGCGTGGTTCCCTGTACGTGAATGCAGCAACATACCACGGTCTCCGTCCACCTCGTTGACATTGACGGAGACACACAGCAGGGGGCCCAGCAGCAGCGACATCACCACCGGTTCTAACCATGCCTTCATGAGCGGGAAGTCGATGCGGAAGCATTGCGGGAACACCACGACCTCGGGGCGGTTGCCGTAGAGGTACAACACTGGAATCATGAAGCCGAACGAGATGATGAAGCCCATGATGTTCGGAAAGGCGTACTTGAGTCGCGCAAGGAAGCTACGCAGGAGTATACAGCAGCGGCTGGGCTTCCCCAACCTACTCGGGTAGTTGCAACAGCAGATGGAGAAACGCCGCTGTCGGATATGAGCGAGCTCCTTCACGAGCTGCTGCGCCTGTCGAGTGAGCTTCCCATGCAGGTGAAGTTGGTCCGTGTTACTGTAGCGCTCCGCTTCACACCGGAAAAAGGCAATCTGCTCCTCAAGCTTCTTCTCCTCGGGGTAGAACAGGCGTGGCACCACGCGCCACCAGTACAAGCATACCGAATACGAGACAGCTGTACACACCGCAATCAACACCGCCAAATCTCTGTTTTCCAAGTTTGAGGGACTTATCATCGTAGAGTTTGCGGCGGTATTGGTGATGTGTTACACAGGAAGTCCGAGCAGATGCCCTACTGACTACTCCAATATCACCGGGCTCTACACCAAGTGAAAATGCGCTGGCATGCGGGGCACACAGACACACAAGCAAGCGGAAACGCAACAAAAACAAAAAAAACAAAGGAAACAGAAAAAGGG